GAGCTGACCAGATGGGAGCTGGGTTCACTTGGACTTCTCTGCCCAGTGACCCACACTCTGGTGCCTGCTGGAGGCAGCTGGCGCCCACGGGCAACTTGTGACCCCCTTTACAGGAGAAGCAGGGAGTGCGAGTGCTGCTAATGCTCACATCCCACCTGCAAAGAGTAGTTCCTGTTGACTCATTCTCCAGGCATGGGGGATCATCCCCTCTTAGAAGACTGGAAACTAGGCTTCAAGAGGTTAGCTCACTTGTCTAACACCTGTAGTGATCGGTCAGCTGGGCATCTGGCAGGGTCCTTGTGAAATTTGGGTGGATGAGTGGATATGATGTTTGGGTAAGTGGGAAGGTGGATAGTTCAGTGGATGGACAGATGGATGGGTGAGTGGATGGATGGATGGATGGATGGATGGGCGGACGGACGGAGAGACGGATGGATGGATGGGTGGATGGATGGTTGGGTAGGTAGGTTAGGGAATGGATGGATGGATGGTGGGATGGAGGGAGGAGCGGATGGGTGGGTGGGTTAGGGAATGGATGGATGGGTGGATGGAGAAGTAGATGGATAGATACCAACACCCCCCAACCCAGAGTCAAGCTAAAAATAGAAAATGGACATGCAATCACACGTTACATTTTTAGGGAGCCATACGAGGTTGCTAGCATCGAGACAAGATCATGGGTGCATAACCCTGTTCTGTGACAATGACAAGCTCATGTGGTCTGCGGTGTGCATGCGAGCACGTGTGGGGGAGGGGCTGTGCCAGGTGCTGTGACTCTCTGTCTCCTTACCTCATTCCTCCCCTTCCTCTTGTCCTAACTTTGGGTACAAGCAGCTGTGCTCTAACCCAGCTCTACCGGTTCAAACGCCAGCACACTCCCTCCTCCTCTCCCTCGCTCCCTCCATCCATCGACCCGTCTTCACTCACCCGTGCTTCTCTCCAGCCACCAGTCCATCCCACACCCACCCGCCCATCCTTCCCTTCACGGGCCCAACAGACCGTGAACGAGCACCTCGTTTGTGCCAAGCACCGTTCGGCGCCTGGGATAAAGTCATGAGCAACCAGCCCTCGGGGAGCTTGCGTTCAAGGGGGGGAAGCAGGCGGAACCACGGCAGGAAAAGGGTCTATGCCTCTACGCATCATACTGTAAATTCCCTCCGTTCCCAGCTCCCTTTCCTGAGGGAGCCCGAAGTATGGCTCAGACGACGCTCTGTTCCCAGCCCCCAGGGTGGGGCGGGGACCCATCACGGTCCCTCAGCCCGCCGGCTGCGCGGGGGGATGTGCTGACCCCCTCTGTCCCGCCACGCATCACAAAACCCGGGTCCGAGTCTAGTCTGGATGCAGTGGTCCAGGAGCAAAGGGACGGGGATAGAGCTGAGACTCAGAGAGCATCGGGGGAGAGCATGAGATGAAAGGGGAGCCGGCTCAGAGCTGGTCACGCAGGGCCTCACAGGCTGGGCGTCTGGTGTTGATGCCAGCCCCAGTGTGGGGCCCGGCACCATTCAGGCCAGGACCCCATGGCACGTCCCCAGAGATCCGAGGGCCTGCGGCCTCCCGCTCCACAGGGGGATGACCATGCAGTCGGCAGGCCCCACCTGCCCTGGGGAAGAGGTGCTGTGGGAGGACAGCCCGGGGTTGTCTCTAGGTCAGGAAGAAGGGCCCGTTGGCGGCCCTGCTGGGGTTCCCTCTCGCGCCCTCGCCCTGGCTCCTCCCAGAGATACAGATATGGAGCCACTTCCCTCAGGGAAGCCAGAGGCCATGTGAATAACAGACTGTGGGATCCTCCGAGGGGAAGCGGGATCGTGTGGCCCTGAGGGGCCTGAATCCGACCTCGTGCGCTAGACGGGAGGTGCGGGCACAGGGAAGGGGCTCCCCACTGCACGCTCCCAGACCCTGCAGGAGACGTGGTGGTTGACGTCGGGCCCCAGTCAGTGTCCCAGAGCTGCCCGGACAGGAAGGGACCCGGGAGGGGGAGGGGCAGAGCGCAGGGACCTGCTTTTCGGGAAGAATCCAGAACAGGTGGAGAATACGGGGCGGGGGGTGGGGGGGCCTCCATGTGGGGGGGGGCAGGACCGAGAGCACAGCTGCTGTCGTAGCCCACGGGAGCGGAGCTGCCCATCACTGTCCCCTCATGTGTCCTCCTGCTGCCCCAGCGCTGGGCCTTGCCCTGCCCTCGCTCAGTGCGGACGTGGCCGGCGCACGGATAATTCAGCCACTGTGCATGTCCAGAGGCCCAAGGACCCTGGTGTGTGGTTTCCTCCCAAAGCCTGCCTGCCCCAGGCCTCTTCCGAGCTGTTTGGGTCCAGGTGGAGTGGCCCCGGGGGCCATATTGCCTGTTGCAGAGAAACTGGGTCCCCTTGGTCACGAAGACCCACTTCCCCCATCTGGAAGCCAAAGAGGAGCCCCCGCGTGCCTGGGTCCCTGCTCTCCTCTCAGCTCTCAGTCCCCGGCCAAGGGAGCCCTGAGTCAGGCTGCGATGAGGCCGATCGAATAAATGACTCCCTTCCCCAGGCAGGGTGCTCGAGGTGGGAACTGGCAGAGCCATTCTGGCTTTCCCGCCTTCTCTCACGTGACGGGCACGAGACCCAGACTGCCCTTCCTCCCTGCCCTCCCACTGGCCTGCCATGCTGTTTCCTTGGACTGGAGGGGGTCACACAGCATGCCTCTTGCCAAAGTCACTTGCTCCAGGAGCCCCTGGCATGCCTGGGATGCCATCACAAGGAACATCTGGGTTTTCCTGTCCATCGAGCTGTAGCTGGCTGGGCTAGGAGAGGTTAAACAAGGTGATATGGAGCCACTGGGCAAGGCCACCTGGGCCACCAGGATTCTGTGACCTCCGTCTGTGGCTGGAACTTGATTAAAGAATGCTCTCGGGGGGGATTGGTATCTCTTGGGACAGAACGTGAGGACAGAGGACCTCGGAGCCCTGGCGGGCCCTCAGGACAGCTCTGCCCCATGCGGGTTCAGGCGGGCTCTGGCCACTGGGGTCAGGAAGACAGACCCAGCCGTCAGTCCCTCCCCGTGTGCTAATCACGAGGGTAGACACTGAGCATGTCCCTGCCTCCGGCTTTGCATGTGTGGACACGGGCTCCCCTGGCCAGCTCCCTGAGTCGTGATGGCGAGTGGCAGAGTCAGGATATAGAATACACCACGGCCATACTCTATGAGCTTCTACCGGCAGACTGTGGGTCGTTTATCAAGGGTACAGATCTGGGAAAAGCACGGGACCAAAGGAACACGGAGGGGTCACATCAGCTCCCATGAGGGAGTGGTCCCATCAGCTTCTGGAATTCTCCCTGCCAGCCAGCTCCCAGCAGCCCCTGCCCAGAGGGGAGACCTTCCTCACAGAATGCTCTAGACCCTGCCCGTCGTGGCCGTGAGCTTCTGACACGAGTGGGCCCCTCCTGAGACCCAGGGTGGTTCCCCAGGTTGGAATCCCTGCCTGCGTTCATCCACGTGCTTTCTCGAAAGTACCCATCCCAGGACAATGAGCCAGCATGACACCTGGGACTCTCCATGGTTAGAACGGGCGTGGGCGTGCCCTCTGCCCCCCGCGTGGACGTGGCCGGCTCTGGCCACCCATCGCAATGGTGCAGGGATGTTGTGACAGAAACTGCGTGGCCTGTTCTCTGTGAAGCTGCCCCTTGGCCTTGCATGGCCCCCTGCGGAGCCGGCAGGGAAATGTCTCACCCTCCCGCCGGGACGTGGGCTTGGGAACAGTGGCTCGTTGTGAACCAACATGAGGCAGGAAGGCGGCCCCGCGTCTGGTGAGGAGTCCGCAGGGCTGGAGCAGCGGCGCGTGGGGTCGCCAAAGCTCTCCGGGGCCGGGGGCGTCCCTCAGCCAGAGTGGCTGTCCTGCAAGGAGCCGAGAAAATGTCAGAGACCCCGGGTCTGCCCCGATTTCTTCATCGCGAGGGTCTTTGATTTCCCTTTCTTTAAAGATTCATTTATTAAGAGAGAGAGAGTCCACACGGGTGCGCGCGGGTGCAGGCAGGGGAGGGGCAGCAGGAGAGCGTCCCCGAGCAGACTCCCCGCTGAGCGCAGGCCCAACGCCAGGCTCCATCTCCTGACGCTTCACCAGATGAGCCACCCAGGTGCCCCCTGGTTTTTATTTTTCTAAGAACTGTGTTAAAGGACACATGACATACAGTTCACTACCCTAACCGTCTTCGGTGCGTTAGGGTTCTGTGGCATTAGGCTCGTTCACACTGTTATGTGGCCATCCCCACCGTCTCCAGAACGTCTTCCCGAACGGAAATTCTGTCCCCGTGAGACGCCAACTCCCATCCATCCCCGGGCGCCTACTGTACACTCTGTCCCGTGAAACACTGACCCCTGTCCCTCCCCCAGCCCCCACTGTCCCCTCTTCTGTACCCCTGAGACTGACTCCCATCCCTCGTTCAGCCCTGGCACCCTCTGTCCACTCTCTGCCCCCCTGAGACACCGACCCCCATCCCTACTCCGGCGCCCACTGTCCACTCTCTGTCCCCCGAGACACTGACCCCCGTCCGTCCCCCGGCTCCGGCGCCCACTGTCTTAGGAACATGACAACTCCAGGCACCTCCTGTCAATCGAATCGTACCAGGAACATACCAGGGACGGCTTCTTTCACCGAGTGTAACGTCCTCCGGTCCGTCCACGTTTAGCAGGTGTCAGAATGTCCTTCCTTTTCCAGGCTGGATCAGAGTCCACGACGTGGATGGACTGCACTTTGTCTATCCATTTGTCCTTGGGCGGGTGCTCGGCTCGTGTCCGTCTCAGGGCTGTAGCGAGCAGGGCCGCCGTGGGCAGGCTGGCGGGCACGGGTCTGACCCAACGTGCAGCTGCTGGAACCGCCTGAGTGTCTTAATCGCGGACCCCCGGGCATTTTCACGTCCTCGCTCCCACAGGATGGCTCGCAGCACGGCTTCGGCCGTGAACCGCTGGGCCGTGGGCCCGCAGTGTGATGTGCCCTGTCTCAGGCCGTGACCCTCTCGCTCTCTCTCCGCCCCCCTTCTCAGGCCGGCTTTCCTGCCCGGTGCCAGCAAGGATGCGCTGTCTGCCTTCGAGTACCCAGAGCCCAAGCGGAAGCTGTACAGCGCGGTCCCGGGGAGGCTCTTTGTCGTCGTCAAGCCATACCACCCTCAGGTCGACGGCGAGATCCCCCTCCACCGCGGTGACAGGGTCAAAGGTCAGTGTCTACTCCGCTAACGGGCAGGGTCAGGCCAGGTACCCGATGCCTCGGCTGACCCGCTGTTGGGGCGTCGGCGTCAGAGGCCTTGCTTCCCGGGGCCCCTGTGGAACGTCTGGAGCCTGGGAGGGCAGAATGGGGAGCAGACGGGGCTCACCGGCCATTCTGGTGTCACACGCATGTCGGGAATGAGATTCCATTGCAGGAAGTACAGGGGCGGGGGAGGGCTCCTTTCCACCTAGGAAACCCCTGAGGGCGCCCGTGGCACAGGGCCGGGGCCTATTACGGGTTGGTTTTGGATATGTCTTCTCGAGAGTCGGGGAGGGGTATCTGGGGGATGGTCCACCACAGCCTGGAGGCCTCCGCTGTTCCTGGGAGGGGAATCCACCAGGCCAGGGGGAGGATCCCCAACGCAGAATCCTGGAAAGTGGTTGAAAGCACATTAGGTCTCCGTGGGTGCCAGGCCAAGGAGTTGGGCTTTGTTCCCAGGGTATTGGGGAGCCGGCAATGGCTTCTGAGCAGGCCGATCAGGTAGGTGAGGCCGTTCAGAAAATGGGTGTAATCAGGGCGTGGGCCGGAGGTCGGCCAGGGCAGCAGCTGTGGGCCGCAGACCACGTGGGCACAGCTGAACTCTCCGGGGAGAGCAAGGAGGGGTACGCCAGGCGTGCCCAGCCGTGCGTGGGCCCTGCCGTCGGAGGACAGGCTTTCCGAAGACGCACGGCAGGTGGTCACAGCGCGCCCCTTAGAGGTCGGCAGGCCAGGGCCAGATCCTGCCTGCCCCTCCTCACCCCCCGGCCCAAGCTGGCCCATAACCCAGCGTCCGACTCTGTGCCCTGCACGAATGCAGCTGCACCCGGCTGGGGTTTGCAAGCTTCCGAGGACGGGGAGCCCCGTTCTCTCGCGGCTCCTCCTGGCCATCCGCGCGGCTGCACGCAAGGTGGCCAGCTGGGAGCGGGGCCAAGTCCCACGGGCTCCGTTCGTGTCCTTCCAGCATTCTGGTTTGCCTCCGACGACTTCTGCTGGTCTCGTTCCAGACCCTTTTCTCCGAAACGTTCCCTTCCCCGATAAGTCCCCCTCGTGCATGTGTTAATTCCAGAAGTCACACGTTCGAACTCTGGAGTTTCCACATGTCGTTTTACGTAGACTTCCAGTTACCTGTCGGGGTTTCTCGCTCGCTGAAGGCACGTGCTGTGTTAGGTCCCTGGCTCAGCCGAGGTCCCCGTCTGCAGTCCAAGGTCACGGTCACCTTGGGCTGGGCTTGCTTGGTGTCCTCCCCGCTCCTGAGAAGGGGCTCCCTCCGGCCGGGTCTTCGTGTGTCTGGTGATCTTCTGTCGCGTCGTGGACGTTAGGCAGGTCAAGGCGTGGGCATTTCTTCGGCGGGTTCCCTGGGTGACCACTCCGGGCCAGCCCAGATCGGGAGCTCAGCTGAGCTGCTCCACATCTGTTCTGCGCATGGTCAGTCGGGGATGGGCAAGGCTGCGGCCCCTCTCGGGCTCCTTCCCGTGTGGGGACACCCCCCAGTCTCTGGGGTGCGTGCTTTCCTGGCTTCGTATTTCTGGTTTTCAGGCAGCTCACACTGAGGGTTTCCCCACGGGCCCCTCGCTCCCCCCGCAGCCCTGCCTTGTGGATGGGGTGCGGGCTCCCGGCCGTGGAGAGGGGCTTGCTGGTCCGGCTCCCCTCCCGCTGGCCCCCAGGTGTCCCACCAGGCTGGGCTGCCTCTGCTCACCTTCCGGCACCTTCTGCACCGCACCTGCAAGAATAAGTGCCCACACCGTCCTGTGCATTTCTCTGCGATATTCTTGTCGCCTGTCGCGTTATTAACGTTCAAGGCATACACGCAGAAAGTCGCACCACCTGCCCTTTTACATTTTAGTCCCAGAACACATCGCAAGGTAGACTTTCTCCCCTGTGCGTGGGCAGTTTCCGTTGTCGCCTCAACAAGGACGCGGCGTGTGCAGGCCGGTGGCTGGCGGCTCCGTGGTCCCGTGCGGGGCTCCGGGCTGGGCTGGTAGATGCCTGTGGAGCCTGCCCAGGGACACCAGCAGCCGTTCACACCTGGGGGCTCCACACACACGAAGGCGGAGGCTTCCATCCGTGAGTGCCTGCTGTCTACCACACCTGTCCGTGAGTGCCTGCTGTTTACCAGGCATGTCGTGAGTGCCTGCTGTCTACCACACATGCAGCTGATACTCACGTACAGTTTTCTGTGAACCTCGTGGCTCCTGTGGGCCAAAGTTGCTGGTTTGCTCGGGGGTCATCACAGAGTCCCCTCAGTCTGGGTGGCTTGACCACGGGATTCCCTGTCTGCCGGTCCTGCAGGCTGAGGCCCGAGGTGCAGGCTTCACAGCCGCGCTCTCCCTGGGTCTTCACAGGGTCATCCCTCCGTGTGTGTCTCTGTCCCAGCCCCCTCTTCTTGTAAGGACCCTGGTCCTATGGGATCAGGGCCCCCCCAGTGACCTCACCTCTTTAATGACCCCAGCTGCAAATAGAGCCCTGTTCTGAGGGCCTCGGGGCCGGGCACCGCCCTAGGAATTTGGGGCATGGGTCAGCCCAAACCCCTTCTGCAGACAAGGTAAATCTGGGGATGACCTCCCAGGCTCCCACAGCAGGTGACCGGGGGGCTGAGGCTCCAGATCGAGGTCGTCTGGACTCCGAACCCACGGAGGCCCCCACCCCCGCCTTGTCTGTCCCGGCCCTCTGCAGGCCGCCCGCTGCCGGCCTTACCCGGCGGTGCCCGTGTTTGTGGTCTCAACACGTCTCGGAGGGACAAGAGGCAGACTTACTGTCTCCACAGTGTGTTCCTGCCTGGACAGCTGGTGACAGCCAGCCGTGCACTGTGTTCTGGAAGGAGGAGGTCATCCGTTCCCCCAGCTCCCTCTCCAGGGTATTGGGTGCACCCCAAGCAGTGCTGGAGCCACGTCAGGGGGCAGGAGCTTGGCCCCAGGGATGACGCGAGGGCTCCCCACATCCTGGCTCCGGTCCCTGGGAAGTGGGGCACCATCTCCTGGGCTGGAGGGCTCCCATATCTGAAGGAGACTCAGTGGAGGGGGGTCAGCAATAAGCCTTTGGCAGCCTTTTTCACAGGAGCTGAGGGCCAATGCCTCTTCTGGGGAAGGTGTTTCAAGTAGGGCACCAACAGTGTCCGCTGCACAGGGGCCATGGGAAAGGGACAGATGAGCGAGGGCCCAGTCCCACAGCCCCTCATTGCTGGCACTCAAACTCCCAGTGTGGGGTCCTTCAAGGCTGTGCTCAATGCCCCCTACTTCAGCTGACTTGTCCTGTGGGAGCTGCTGACTGAGGAGCATTGGATGGCCTGCAGGTCTGGCTTGCACAAGGAAGCATCCAGAAGGTGGGAAGGGTCGTCTCCACGTTGATAGTGAGATGCAGCCTGGTGCATCTCCTTCCCTCCCGGCCCTGCTGTGCGGCCCCTGGCGTCCTGGCTGGCAGCTCTCAGAGACAGGTAGCTGGAGGTGAGCCAAGGGTGCTGTCTCAAAGGATGCACAGCAGAGGCAGGAGGCCTGGCTGCCTGGCTGGCAGGGCCAGGAGATCTGGGAGGATTTCCAGAGAAACCCAACTGCCCCCTTCCAGGGGAGTGCAGTTCTGCAGAGAACCCCCAGCCCCCTGGCTGGGCCCTGACTCTCCCCGTATTCCTATCTTCGCGGCTCAGCTGTGGAGGGGAGGTCTTCATATTTCCAGGGATCCACTGAGCCCGTACCCCGGGAAAGCATATCTCGTTACCCCTCTCCCCACAGGCGGGTTCCCGGGCACAGGGGTGTGCCTGTTCTGATCCCCCTTGTGACACTCACGTGGAGGAAAGCCCAGGATGGCTTCAAATTCAAACGGCCTGCTGGGGGCTTGGAGCAGAATGGGGAACCAAGGCTGTCCAGGCCCACAGGGAGGTCCCTCCTCAGCGACCCAGGCAGAGGCAGGGCGGAGCTTGGCAGAGTGGGCGGAGCTTGGCAGAGTGGGCGGGGCTGGTACAGTGATGGCTCCTCCCAAGCCTGGGGCGAGATCGCCAATGTCCGAGGCAGGGCCCTGTGTCTCTGGAGGGGAGAGGCCCTGCGTAGTGGCCAGTTAGTGGACAGCTGGACGGGCATCTCCTCCAACCACGTGGCTTCAGCTGTGGCCTCAGAGCCCGTGGACTGTTCGTACTCGGGGTACGAAATGTCTGCGTTTTAGTGCCTTCAGTCAGTTTATGGGTGAGCCCAGCCCAGCTGCCCTGCGCTTAGAGGGAACACGTTCCTGCCTGCACATGGTGGGTGGACAGTAACCCCAGTGTGCGAGCCCGCTGTGTGGCCGGGGGTCGCAGCTCCCTAAGGGCGGAGGCCCGTCCTGCCGACCGCCTAAAACGTAGTCACATGTTGCAGACAGGACCCGAGTCATGCCCGCGGCCCCTCGTGTGTGCCCTGCTCCCCCTCCTCCTCCAGGAGAGCCTCCAGCGAGCGCTCGCTCCCAGGGTGACGCCGGCCCGGCAGGCAGGGCCCCTCAGCCTCCCCCTCTCCCACCAACATCGGAATAACAGAACACACTCAGAAGCGTGAGTCGGTGCCCGTCAGACACGAGCGCGCGCTGTCTTACCTGCCTCCCCGGCAGACGGGCAGTCCGGAGAGAAGCTGTGAGGGGGATGGAGCGCCGCACGGGGTTATAGGGCTCTGCCTCACGCACGGTAGCACCGCGAACAGGACCCGCTCTGACCCGCAAGGGGGCCGAGGCAGGGGGTCCGAGAAGCTTCCCTGCGTGTCACGGACACGGACGTGTGGCTTCTGCCTGTCCAGCACATGGGCTGGTGCCCAGCCTCCCGTTGCTGCCAGACAGCGCTCCGTCCGCGGTGACCCTCTCCGGTCTGGATTCTCTGGGGAGCCTGCGTGCATCCCCCGACCTGGGCCGCTTGGGGTATAAGGGGCAGCGTCCGTTTTTGGAGGAAGCGCGCGAGAGATGTCTTCCTGTTTCTACCGTGCAGAGTGGCCCCGTGGACGGGCCCTCTACCCCCGTCTCTGAGGGGAGGGGTCTCCGATGCTCCCCGTCTGCACCGACCGTCAGAGGCCCTCAGTGGCGGGTCAGCTCGTCACAGGTGCAGGGCTCCCACTGCCCCCCTCTCTCCCGCGCTCCTGCCTCGAGGCCAGACAGAACACGGGGTCGGCACACAGCCTCTCTCTGCTCTTCCGTCTCCTGCTGGGAACTGTCTTTTCCCAAACTGGTTTCAAAGATCAGGCAGACCCTTGGACCTCTTCCCCAGCTGGGCAAGGGCACACGTGTGACCTCATTGTTCCTTCCATCCTTGGAGGTCGTGACCTGTTCCACCGCTTTGATACAGGACGTGATTGACGCTGGCGACTTGCAGTTCCCCTCCGCCGTCTCAGCCAGGACACCAGGAGTGGGGACAGAGTAGTTGCAGGACTTGTGGGGCCAGATAATGATGCTGGGAGACCAACGCTTACAAGCTCAGGGGAAGAGACACCTGGGGACCCCAGCGTCCATGCCCTCGGCCCCGTCCTCTCCGAGGGACACTGTATGGGTCCCCTCGTCCACAGCTGAGGGAGGTGTAGACGGCCAGCAGACAGACCAGAGCCGCTGGCTGTGCAGGCTGGAGGGACGGCACTGGCCCTGTCCTCTCTCTGTCCCCTCTTCGCGCTCACCCCCAGATCCCTTGAGCCTGCCTGCTAACGGTTTCCCCCTCTCGTTTCCAGTTCTGAGCATTGGCGAAGGAGGCTTCTGGGAAGGCAGCGCCCGCGGCCACATCGGGTGGTTCCCGGCCGAGTGCGTAGAGGAGGTGATGTGCAGGCCCAAGGACAGCCAGGCAGGTAAGGTGGCTCAGCGTGCGCCGCGTCTCCACGGCCCTTGGGCCCAGGTGGCCTGCCAACAGAGAGAGGCCGCCGTTCAAAGCAAGGACTTCTTTCTGTCATCAAAACGGGTTGATTCGATTCCTCTGGGCTTTGTCCAAACCAGAAATAGGTTGCAAGACGGTGCGGAAGCTTTTAGTTACGGGGCTGCTCAGTACACGTTCCAGAAAACTTGGATCGTTTGCTGTAGCCATCGGGGAAGGGCTCTCGCAGGTCAACGGAACCTGGAAGGCCGGTTCTCAATCTTTCATACCGAGGTCGCACGTGGGCAGCTCGTGAGCACCAGAAGGGCCCCGCCCCGGCCGTGCCCTCCGTTAAAACCACACGCCCTGACGTGTTTCTGAACGCCGCCCCAGAGCAGTTGGCATTCACGAAGGAAAACGGCTTCCGCGTCTCTCGGAACTCCAAATATAGCCTTTGCTGAAAACCGCTTTGAAATTGATTGCCAAAAGATTGGGTTGATTAAAATGTTAAGAGGAGATCGTTCATATACAGCGGACTGGGGAGGAAGCGCGGCTCTCGGGGAACATCAAGCGTCGACTGTCTTGCAGGGAGAGCGGCTCCGCGTGGGCACTCTGCATCGGGTACAACCCCAGACCCCCAGAGCACATGTTGGAGGCAGCCACCCTCAGTCTGCGGCTGGTGGCTTTGTTGTGTCTGCTTGTGCAGGCTCGTGGTCCCTGCCCCGTGGGCCCGCACCGCTGGGAGACGAGGTGTTCTGAGGACGCGTGCTCGGAAAGCGCGGTGGGCGCCCCGTGCCTGGCTGGCTTGGCAGACTCTGCCTCAGGGGTGCTCAGTTGGTTCCTCTCCGAGAACCTGATTTCAGACGGGGTGTCCCCGTGTGCCAGGCTACCCACTGTTCAGGAGAGGGAACCCGTGATGCTCCCTGCGTGGTGGGGGGTGTCGAGGTAAGAGGCATCCTAAACTTAGGTTGAAAGGGAAGGCTGGGATGTATCCTATGGGGAAGGGGCTGGGCTGGTCCGTGGGCAGCAGGCAGGTGGGAGCTTTCCTGGGCGTGGTGGTGCATGTCCTGAGCCCCAGGACGAGCCAGACCTCCTGGCCCTCCAGGGCCTGCTGCCCCTGGCCCACCCGTGGCCTCTTGGGCCGGCGGCACGCCCGGCCCCACTGGTCTGCGAAGGGTAAGACGAGAGCTGTGAGCGCGACGCCCCGTCCAGGCCGCTGGGCACCGCCTTCCGCCCTCTCGTCCTTCTGCCCTCTCCTGCCCCACAGCTTCGGTGCCATTGGTCTCCCAGCACACGTTCCTTCCTTGGAAAGACTTAGGCACTGCTGGCCGGGGCAGCCCAGGATGGCCACATGTGCAGGTCACCTGGGCCCTGCTGCTCCCTGCGTCCTCCAGGAAATCGCAGCTTCCTGTAGAGAGGGAGCTGAAGGCCAGGGCCCGTGGCGCCCCCTCCTACCCTCCCCTGCGGGCACGTACCCCCGACGCAGGCACGACATCCGCAGGGCAGGTGGACACGGTGCTGCTCGGCTCGTCCAGGCTGACGGTCCCCTCCGGAGGAGCTCCCGGGGGGCAGTGGCGTGTGTGTGTCCATCCTGGGACAGCTGTCGGGTGTGACGTTCCTAGAAGGATGCTCCTTGCTCCTTGCAACCCTCTGCAGAATGTCGTCCTTTTGATAACCTGGGACTTGCCACCCAGGCTGCTGTTCAACATTCGTGGGGCTCCAGCCAATTCTGGGGGCTGGCTGTGTGTGTCTTGGGGGACTTGAGAACATGTAGGCTGGTCCCTGACCCCAAACGACCATGCCAGACCCTCTGGAATGTGGCACTCACCGCCGCCACCCTGCGCAGCGTAGCTTTGTGCTGCCCATAAGGATCATGGGAGATGGAGCTCCTCGAGCTGTCCCAAGTGGCTACAGAATGGCTTCAGCATCCCAAATGCATTATCTTGTGGTCCTAAGGTCAGAAGTCTGGTGTGGGTCTCACAGGTTCCCGTGTCAGCCGGGCTGTGGTCCTTTCTGGAAGCTCTGGGGGAGAGTGCATGTCCTTGTTGTCTCCGGGCTCTGGATGCTGCAACGTGCTTGGCTCGTGGTCCCTCCCGCCAACTTGAGAACGGGGCCGGGCCCCTTACGCTGCACGTCTCTGACCCCCTCTCGCTTCTTCCCTGTGGGTTAGGACGCGTGTGGTCAGCCTGGGCCCACCTGGATAGGCCAGCGGAAGGCAAGCTGATTTGCAGCCTCATTCCCTTTCTCCGTGTGAGGTCACTGTTCCCAGGTGCTGGGCATTACGACGTATCTTTGCGGGGGGGGGCGGGATCCTCTGTCCGCCAGGGAGGGTAAATTATGAGCCCTGCTAGGAGGTAGGCACGGGTCAGGGGAGGCGGCATCCCGCAAGCCTGGGATGGCGGGCGGTGGCGTGGCAGGGAGCGGACTCGGACCTGGATTTCAGGGTAGAGATGGTTCTGGAGCGGCTCCTGCCAGGCTCGCTTCCTTGGGCTTTCTCAGAGGGGCTGGGCTTAGAGATTGCTTTTGTCGCCGCGTGACTTACCTGCACAGCTAAGGGCACAGGTCAGGGTATTTGGCAGACGTACACCCCCGTGTCTCCGAGCACACTCGGGCAGGCGTCCTGACCCCGCAAGTTCTGTCAGGGTGCTTCCTGGCCACGCCGCCTTCCCGCGGCTCTGGCAGCGGAGGCCGGTGTGACTGACTGACTCGCTCAAACGCACACCCCCTGCAGCCAGCACTCCTGGGCCTCGAGCGCCCATCACCCGCCATGCTGCCGTAAGCGCCAGCGATCTGTCTGTATTTGTCCCCAAGGAGTGTTCTGTCACATGTGTATGCCCAGCAGACCTCGACTCACGCTCCCACCAATGGCATTGGGGTCGCTCCTTGATTTGGGATCATGGGAAGGTTTCTGTACAAGCCTGTCCGTGGACGTGGTTTCATCTGTCGTGGGGAAGTGGCTGGGAGCACGTTGCGAGGTCGCAGGACAGGAGTGCGTCTCACTTTAGAGGAAACATCCAGACAGCCGTCCCAGCTGCTGGGTCTCCTGGGGCTGCCATGGCCCCACGTCCTGGCCCACATCTGCTATCACGGGTCCCTTAAGGGGCGGCCGCCATGTGGATGTGGCGGGAATTGTGCTGAAGGCGTCCTCCAGTGGTGGGGGGCATCGTGGCACGCGGCTTCCGTGTGCTGCTCCCCAAGGTCAGCGTCTTTCTAAGGATCTGGGCACATCTCTGTCCACCTTTAGTTGGGCCGCTTCTCTTGCCGCTCCTGGATCTGGGGTTTCCTCATGTGTTCTGCTGTCCACACTGGATACATGTGACAGGTACTTCCCGGATCCTGGGACTTGACCTTTTGTTTCCAACTGTGTCTTAAAGGAGTAGAGAGTTTTTTAAAATTTTAAACCAAGTCCCACTCCCTTATTTTTTTTTTTTTCACGATCAGCATTTTTTTGGTTAAAAAATGCTCCATTTTTAAGCAGACCTGGAATATACGTAGAATCTGGAGATGGTACAACAGACGTGCTACGTGTTTGCATCCAGCGCGCTGGGTCTGCACCAGGTCAGCCCAGTGTGGGCTGCACACGTTCCCTTTGTCTGGGGAGCCCCACGTCTCTGTGTTGTAAAGTGAGTGTTTAGCCGGCAAATCCCAGTCTCGTGCATTAAATGAAAGAGGTGAACTATTCGAGGAACCCCCAGCACACGGGGGCAGCTCAGGGCACCTTGTGTCTGAGCACAGCCGATTTCCTGTCCCATGATGACGAACGTCAGGGACCACGGGTAGCCCCCGCAGAATGACGTGCAGGGCCCGGGTCGCTGGCTGGTTCATGGATACACGTTGGGCTCAGTGGCGCGGAAAGGTTGGGAGCTGGGTCTTCAGTGCAGGAAGCCCTTGCTCTTCCAAACCTCCGTCTCATCTCTTAGGACCGTGTGTTTCTGAGGACCTCACCGTTTCCAACAGGCTTTCCTTCCTGGTCGCTTGTCCTCCTGGGGAGTAGGGAGGACAGGAACCATACTCCCCGACCTACACAGACACCCGCGTGTCAGCACCCAGGAGCGCACCGGGCTGGGCTATGACCTATTCTTTGGAATCCTAACGCCATGCATAGTGTCACCCTGGCAGAGAGCAGGCATGGTCCTGGGATCATGTGCGTGTCCCTCTCCTGAGCTCCCAGTGCGCAGGCTTCTTCTGGGTGGGGCTTTGCCGTGGCTGTATTAGGTTGGGTGAGGTCAGCCACTATAACTTACGAGCCTGTAACTTCGGCGGCGTCCATCCTGCTGTGTCCTCCCCATTCTCAAGGGCTTTCGGGGCCTCTGGCTTAGAAGGGACACACACCACTGCCTCTCTGTTCCCAGTGTCAAGGACATTATCGTGGGACGTGGACACCACAGGGCTTGGCCTTGTGGTTTCCGGCTAGGAGCCACCACTGGCGACTGACCCCTCGGGAAAATAGAGACAGAAGGACGTGGACTTGGGCACAGATACGTGTACGTTTGAAAAGATCCATGTGAAGGAAATGGCTTAGGCGATTGTGGGGGCTGGCAAGTCTGAGATCCACAGGGCAGGCTCAGGCTGCAGTCGTGAGGCAGAATTTCCTCTTTGAGAAGCCTCAACTGATTGGGAGAGGCCCACCCACACTGTCCAGGAGAATCTCTGCTCAGTCAGTTGGCTGTAGGGGCCGTGGGCCATGTCTGCTGAACACCTTCATGGCAATGCCTGGACGGGTGCCCGACAGTAGCTGGGTGCCTGGTCTGGTCAGGTTGACACCTAAAACCGGCCGTCACTAAGACCGACCCATACCACGGATGGAGAGAGGGACGGTGGCCGCCTCTGCTTCCCATCGTGTCCCTATCTGTAAATCCAGGCTGCCAGGTTAGACGGTGGCTTGGTCCTTTCTCTGTAGGATTCTGCACACCAGCCATGACAGGGCATGTCCCCAAAGGCAGATCTCAGGTAAGAAACAGATAAAGTACATCCAGACTCATCACGCGGAGCCTTTCG